TTTGAGCGCTTGGGGAGTGCTCTAAACGCCTTTTCAGTGTGAATCAACGCCTAAGACCATGACTTCATGAATGTACATTTATTGTCACCAAAGTTCAAGTAGTCAATGTTTTTATGACTAAAATGTGATTCCCAGTCTGTTCCATGACATACAAAAGATATTATATGGCAGAAGTGTCTGTCCATGATCGGTACAAGGAGTTCAAGTAAAGAGAATACAACATAGTGTTTCTAGCCTTTCTGAAGCGTTTGAGCGCTTGGGGAGTGCTCTAAACGCCTTTTCAGTGTGAAGTAACGCCTAAAACCATGACTTCATTATTGTACATGAATGGACACTCAAGAGAATGTAGTCTTATTTTCTCTCATGAAAATGTTATTTCCTGTCAGTTCCATTACAAATAAACCACATTTCATGGCTGAATTGTCTGTCCATGATCATTTTATAGAGTTCAGGTTAACAGAACACTGCATAGCGTGTCTAGCCTTTCTAAAGCGTTTGAGCGCTTGAGGAGTGCTCTAAACGCCTTTTCAGTTTGAATTAACGCCTAAGACCATGACTTCATGAATGTACATTTATTGTCACCAAAGTTCAAGTAGTCAATGTTTTTATGACTAAAATGTGATTCCACAGTCTGTTCCATGACATACAAAAGATATTATATGGCAAAAGTGTCTTTTCATGATCGGTACAAGGAGTTCAAGTAAAGAGAATACAACATAGTGTTTCTAGCCTTTCTGAAGCGTTTGAGCGCTTGGGGAGTGCTCTAAACGCCTTTTCAGTGTGAATCAACGCCTAAGACCATGACTTCATGAATGTACATTTATTGTCACCAAAGTTCAAGTAGTCAATGTTTTTATGACTAAAATGTGATTCCCAGTCTGTTCCATGACATACAAAAGATATTATATGGCAGAAGTGTCTGTCCATGATCGGTACAAGGAGTTCAAGTAAAGAGAATACAACATAGTGTTTCTAGCCTTTCTGAAGCGTTTGAGCGCTTGGGGAGTGCTCTAAACGCCTTTTCAGTGTGAAGTAA